GTACATTTGAACACATACCTCAACACAGACCGAGGAGAAACTCCCGCTGCTGACTTGAAGGTCCTGCAGGCTAGAGCAATAGACCACAGACCGAGGAGAAACTCCCGCTGCTGACTTGAAGGTACTGCAGGCTAGAGCAATCAACACAGACCGAGGAGAAACTCCCGCTGCTGACTTGAAGGTACTGCAGGCTAGAGCAATCAACACAGACCGAGGAGAAACTCCCGCTGCTGACTTGAAGGTCCTGCAGGCTAGAGCAATAGACCACAGACCGAGGAGAAACTCCCGCTGCTGACTTGAAGGTCTGCAGGCTAGAGCAATAGACCACAGACCGAGGAGAAACTCCCGCTGCTGACTTGAAGGTCCTGCAGGCTAGAGCAATAGACCACAGACCGAGGAGAAACTCCCGCTGCTGACTTGAAGGTACTGCAGGCTAGAGCAATAGACCACAGACCGAGGAGAAACTCCCGCTGCTGACTTGAAGGTCCTGCAGGCTAGAGCAATACACCACAGAGCAATCGATACTCTCACAATCCATGGATATGGAAAACTAATGAAAGGATTTAAGTGAAATACACATAAGACAATATTAATACTCGTTACACAGCTCTGTCTATGAATTTGAGAGTAATTACATTTCTCCAGCCCCATCCCTCAACTTTTTACAGAAGCAGGGGCGGGGTGAAGCCTTTGTTATTGTTTCTACTGCTGATTGCCGCTTTAAGGTGCATGTCGCCGTCTAATGTGCTGGAGTGTGTGGCCAATCACGGTTTACATTAGGTTTACACCTAAATCCTCCTACCTAACTCTGTACTACTTCTAAATGAACCCATTAAAACGAGTGTCAGATCACAATGTGCTCTATATTTGGACTTTTATTTTCCCTGTATGAGCTTTCAATCCTCACTGTATATTTTACAGTTTAGTGTGACTTTTATTTTGACAGCAGGTTTTTTTTGCCTTCTCTGTTTTTACCGGTAAGGGGCATATGGGAAACAGGCGGAAGCGAATCGCGGAATCCGGGAGAAAGAGAGCGCGCTTGTTTGAAACGGAAAAGCGTCGTGGTAGTTATTGATAAAGAAGAACATCAAGACGAAGCAGCTGCTTTACAGGTGGGATGCACTGCTGAGCGCTACATCCCCAGGGGTTCGGCCTGATTGGACCGAGATTGTTGCACCCTTGACAAGGCAAGAACAAGATGTATATCAGGAGAAGTGCAGTGTTATTATAAGGAGAGTTATACAGTACTTGGAATATGGAGGAGGAATGGAGGGAAAAAAGAGGCAGAGGAGGTCTAAGAGAGAGGGGGAGCTTGAATCAGTTAAAAATGGCTGGAAAAAGGGAGATGGTTTGTTAAAGAAGAACGGTAGAAAGTGTTAGCAGAGTGAGCTGAAGACAGGAGGAGAAACGGAAGAGAATGAGGGGGAAGTTCTCTGTGCGCGAGGCTTGCACCGAGGGTCAGGATAAAGATGAGTCTGTGACAGTAGGAGTGAAGTTTTTGGAAAAGTGGACCCTTGCCTTTTGGCTGATCCATTTGTGGTTTCAGGATGGGTGAAAAGAGAGTTGGGTAAAGTGGAATCGGTGAGGGTAACCAGAAGTGGTCTAGTGATAATTATTTGTGTTTCTGATCCTCAGAGGGAGCAGGCGCTCCGTGTTAAACCAATGGGGACAAGAGATGTGAATTGTTTTGCTCTCAAGAAAAGGGCGCCATTGAAAGGAGTGATTACTGGGGTAGTGGTAAATATGAAAGCTGACCAACTGAAGGGGAAGATTCCCGGTGTTTGTGATGCTCGTCGTTTGGTGCGATGCAGACAGGATGGCGTGAGTGGAGAAATAGAAGAGTCGTTGTCTGTTCTTTTGAGTTTTGATGTTGAGTCTTTGCCCGACAAAGTGATGTTAGGATATATCAGTTATCCTGTACGAGCTTTTGTGCCAAATACATTACGTTGTTACAGGTGTCAAGCTTATGGGCATGTGACAGCAATGTGTAGGAGGGAGGTTCCTAGGTGTGAGAAGTGTGCAGAAAGGAATGTGCATCATTGGGGAAAGTAGTGGTATGTGGTAATTGTAGGGGTGCCCATGGAGCTGGGGATCAGACATGTCCCGTGCGAGAGAGGCAGGTTGAGGTTTCCAGGGTTAGAGTAGTGAAGAAGTTGTCATATGCTGAGGCAGGGAAGAAAGTAGAGGAAGATGGGTCAAGGGGGAGGGATCCTGAGAGGAGTAGATCTGTACCAGTACAGAGGGATAGGCCAACAAGTGATATATGTTTCAGTAAGATTGGATTTTGGGCGTTTATAGCAATGGTTATTAATTGTACTGCAGGGATGGAACATAAGTTGCAGAAAATAGAGGTTGTGGTGGCAGCTGCAGAGAGGTATTTGGGTGTAGGAGATTTGACGTCAGAAGAGTTACAGGGTGTGTTGAGTGGTGGTGTCCAGTCCTTTCAGGCTGTTGGCCTGAAGTAGGACTAAATAGATTTAAATAGTGGAGTATGGTATTTTTAGTTTGTAGTTTTTTTTACATTTTATTTGTCATTTTTTGTGAGTGTAGTGTTAGATGGTAGGGTATTTGTTGTATTTTTATATATATACAGTACCAGTCAAAAGTTTGGACACACTTACTCATTCAAGGGTTTTCCTTTATTTTTTACAATTTTCTAAATTGTAGAATAATAGTGAAGACAACAAAACTATGAAATAACACATATGGAATCATTTAGTAACCAAAAAAGTGTTAAACAAATCAAAATATATTTTATATTTGAGATTCTTCAAATAGCCACCCTTTGCCTTGGTGATAGCTTTGCACACTCTTGGCATTCTCTCAACCAGCTTCACCTGGAATGCTTTTCAAACAGTCTTGAAGGAGTTCCCACAAATGCTGAGCACTTGTTGGCTGCTTTTCCTTCACTTTGTGTCTTAATCGATTTGAAAAGTTTGACGTGTCATGTGTGTCTCTTCGGAACAGGGCACCCCTCAAGGGGGTAATGTCTCGTGGGAAGTCGTTGTTAAAGAGATGAAAAATATTCCTGGAGTGATTGATGCACGTTGGATGAATCAAGTTGTGAATTATGAAAAAGTGAAGAGTTGATCTGTTCTTTTGTTTTTTGATATGGAGTCTCCCTACTCAAGTGCAGTTGGGGTATATAAACTACAAAGTCAGAGCATTTATGCCAAGACCAATGCAGTGTGATCCTTCTAGACCTGTCTGCTGCCTTTGATACTGTGAACCATCAGATCCTCAATGCAGTGTGTTAACACTGTAAAGCTTTAGGTCGTGTGTCAAGACCAATGCAGTGTGTTAACACTGTAAAGCTTTAGGTCATGTGTCAAGACCAATGCAGTGTGTTAACACTGTAAAGCTTTAGGTCATGTGTCAAGACCAATGCAGTGTGTTAACACTGTAAAGCTTTAGGTCATGTGTCAAGACCAATGCAGTGTGTTAACACTGTAAAGCTTTTGGTCATGTGTCAAGACCAATGCAGTGTGATCACTGTAAAGCTTTAGGTCATGTGTCAAGACCAATGCAGTGTGATCACTGTAAAGCTTTAGGTCGTGTGTCAAGACCAATGCAGTGTGATCACTGTAAAGCTTTAGGTCATGTGATCACTGTAAAGCTTTAGGTCATGTGATCACTGTAAAGCTTTAGGTCATGTGTCAAGGGTTAGCAGAAGGGAGAAACCAAGAAGGCCAAGTTGGGGAAAAGATCATTTAATGTGTTATAAAAGTGATGAAAAAGTGAAATGTTGCCATTGTGGTGGGAACCATGAACCCACGTCTTTTGAATGCCCGACAAGGATGAAAGAGAGTGAGGTGGCCAAAGTCAGGGCTGTCCAGAGCATTTCATATGCAGCAGCTGTTAAAAGAGTTGAGGGTTTGAATGGTGCTCCTGAAGAGTCCATGGTGGTGGATAGGCCTTCACTGCAGGCTGCAGGGGTTGCTTTTCACCAACAGGATCCTGACATTTTAAAGGTTAAAAAGGTGGACTTTGTGGCCTTTATCACAATGGTGATTAATGACACTGCCAAGGTTGAGAAAAGATCTAGGAAGATAGAAATCATTGTGGTTGCGGCGGAACAGTTACTGGGGTAGAAAAATTTCTCGGCAAAAGAGTTACATGGAATATTGTCAAAAGCCGTATCACTCTCTCAGGTCCTAGATCCTGAGAAGGGAGATATGGAGAACTAAAAGAGGGAAGAAATGGGAGTTTTGTTTGTTTTGGCAATGTACTATTTTTATTAGGGTGGAGTAAGTAAGTATCACTATTAAGTATGGATATATTTTTTATTGGATATATTTTGTGGTTTGAAACCGTCCAGCTGGTGGCGACAATTCAACTTGTGGATGTAGTCCGTCATAAAACCCACAGAAGAAGAAGAATCATTATTTCAACAAGCATGGCGGCGATAGGAGTACATTTCGGATACACATGTGCCTGTGTAGCTATTTTCAAGGTATTGTGCTGCCTTTAGTAACGGTATTAGTGGTGGGACTATTCTGTTTTTCCCGTTATGAAGAAGCTCTATTTAGGTGGCCCGCAAAGATCCTTAAGGCGGTTAAACATGCTAGTCAACGTTACCGGTGGTAGCCAGCTAGCTAGTCAACGGTACCGGTGGTAGCCAGCTAGCTAGTCAACGTTACCGGTGGTAGCCAGCCAGCTAGTCAACGTTACCGGTGGTAGCCAGCTAGCTAGTCAACGTTACCGGTGGTAGCCAGCCAGCTAGTCAATGTTACCGGTGGTAGCCAGCTAGCTAGTCAACGTTACCGGTGGTAGCCAGCTAGCTAGTCAACGTTACCGGTGGTAGCCAGCTAGCTAGTCAACGTTACCGGTGGTAGCCAGCTAGCTAGTCAACGTTACCGGTGGTAGCCAGCTAGCTAGTCAACGTTACCGGTGGTAGCCAGCTAGCTAGCCAACGTTAGCATGGAGTGAATGAGTTGTTGCCGGTGTTAGTCATCTAGTAAGCTAACGTTAACTAGAAAATAACTTGCTTGGCTTTTGAAATGTTGTTCTTATCGGGCAAGCCAGTGTGGAAGGTTTTTGACAGTATTGTGTGTTTTGTGCAGGATGGCCGAGCGGAGGTGGTCGCCAATGACGCCGGAGACCGAGTCACTCCTGCCGTGGTGGCTTACAGAGACACGGAGCAGGTATCCTACAACTAGCCAACTAACATACTATATAACTATTTAATATTAGGTACCTCAACTGTTACATCTGCTAAATATGTGACCCTAACCCTACAACTAGCCAACTAACATACTAAATTATAATATTATAGTCACTGAAGGAAGGCGTTTAAGATCCCTGACGCTTGGTCTGAACATTAACATGTATCACTTGCGGTATGGTTTTGGAAGCACAAGGACCTTATCTTTCATATCAGCGAATCAATTTAACTTTTTTTGTGAAACACCTTGATAAGGTTAGTGTTCCCACACTGCCACATCTCCATGTGGCAGCGCTTGTTTTCGGAAAACAGATGGAAGACAAGAGGCGACCACCTGTGTTAATGAGCTATCTAGCATGCTCTGAACACCTGTGTTAATGAGCTATCTAGCATGCTCTGAACACCTGTGTTAATGAGCTATCTAGCATGCTCTGAACACCTGTGTTAATGAGCTATCTAGCATGCTCCAACACCTGTGTTAATGAGCTATCTAGCATGCTCTGAACACCTGTGTTAATGAGCTATCTAGCATGCTCTGAACACCTGTGTTAATGAGCTATCTAGCATGCTCTGAACACCTTTGGACAATCCCTATCATTTCTTTCGCCACTGTGCAAATTTCAGGTCTTGTTAGCGAAACCTTTTAATTTTAAGCACACAGAACACTGAGGCTGTAACTGCTTTAAAGCACACAGAACACTGAGGCTGTAACTGCTTTAAAGCACACAGAACACTGAGGCTGTAACTGCTTTAAAGCACACAGAACACTGAGGCTGTAACTGCTTTAAAGCACACAGAACACTGAGGCTGTAACTGCTTTAAAGCACACAGAACACTGAGGCTGTAACTGCTTTAAAGCACACAGAACACTGAGGCTGTAACTGCTTTAAAGCACACAGAACACTGAGGCTGTAACTGCTTTAAAGCACACAGAACACTGAGGCTGTAACTGCTTTAAAGCACACAGAACACTGAGGCTGTAACTGCTTTAAAGGTCCAATGTAGCCGGTTAGGGTTAGGGTTAGCCCCTAACCCTAGCCCTAACCCTAACCCACAGAACACTGAGGCTGTAACTGCTTTAAAGGTCCAGTGTAGCCGTTTTGAACTCAATATCAAATCATTTCTGGGTAACAATTAAGTACCTTACTGATTTTAAATTAAAATGGTTAATGCATGGCTTGACATTAACCGTTTTAGGACTGATGTTTTACTTGTCTGAACTCAAATCACTTCATAAATATAATAAATTATCTAACATAATTGGCCAAATAGGGGACTGAAATTGTATTATATGATGCAAGAAACCACTTTACAAAATTAAAATCATTATTACCATACAGAGAATCATACAAACATGTATACTACCCTCTGCCTTCAAGCCTGTTTAGAAATAGGACAATGCCCCTTTAAGGCAAAATAGCTCTTTACCTGACTCGCTTTTCAAAGACAGATACATTTACATTTACATTTGAGTCATTTAGCAGACGCTCTTATCCAGAGCGACTTACAGTTAGTGAGTGCATACATTTTTTAAATTTATTTTATTTTTTAAATATTTTTTTTGTTATTCTTTTTATATATATACAGTGGGGAAAAAAAGTATTTAGTCAGCCACCAATTGTGCAAGTTCTCCCACTTAAAAAGATGAGAGAGGCCTGTAATTTTCATCATAGGTACACGTCAACTATGACAGACAAAATGAGAAAAAAAAATCCAGAAAATCACGTTGTAGGATTTTTAATGAATTTATTGGCATATGATGGTGGAAAATAAGTATTTGGTCAATAACAAAAGTTTCTCAATACTTTGTTATATACCCTTTGTTGGCAATGACACAGGTCAAATGTTTTCTGTAAGTCTTCACAAGGTTTTCACACACTGTTGCTGGTATTTTGGCCCATTCCTCCATGCAGATCTCCTCTAGAGCAGTGATGTTTTGGGGCTGTCGCTGGGCAACACAGACTTTCAACTCCCTCCAAAGATTTTCTATGGGGTTGAGATCTGGAGACTGGCTAGGCCACTCCAGGACCTTGAAATGCTTCTTACGAAGCCACTCCTTCGTTGCCTGGGCGGTGTGTTTGGGATCATTGTCATGCTGAAAGACCCAGCCACGTTTCATCTTCAATGCCCTTGCTGATGGAAGGAGGGTTTCACTCAAAATCTCACGATACATGGCCCCATTCATTCTTTCCTTTACACGGATCAGTCGTCCTGGTCCCTTTGCAGAAAAACAGCCCCAAAGCATGATGTTTCCAACCCCATGCTTCACAGTAGGTATGGTGTTCTTTGGATGCAACTCAGCATTCTTTGTCCTCCAAACATGACGAGTTGAGTTTTTACCAAAAAGTTATATTTTGGTTTCATCTGACCATATGACATTCTCCCAATCCTCTTCTGGATCATCCAAATGCACTTCAGACGGGCCTGGACATGTACTGGCTTAAGCAGGGGGACACGTCTCGCACTGCAGGATTTGAGTCCCTGGCGGCGTAGTGTGTTACTGATGGTAGGCTTTGTTACTTTGGTCCCAGCTCTCTGCAGGTCATTCACTAGGTCCCCCCCGTGTGGTTCTGGGATTTTTGCTCACCGTTCTTGTGATCATTTTGACCCCACGGGGTGAGATCTTGCGTGGAGCCCCAGATCGAGGGAGATTATCAGTGGTCTTGTATGTCTTCCATTTCCTAATAATTGCTCCCACAGTTGATTTCTTCAAACCAAGCTGCTTACCTATTGCAGATTCAGTCTTCCCAGCCTGGTGCAGGTCTACAATTTTGTTTTTGGTGTCCTTTGACAGCTCTTTGGTCTTGGCCATTGTGAAGTTTGGAGTGTGACTGTTTGAGGTTGTGGACAGGTGTATTTTATACTGATAACAAGTTCAAACAGGTGCCATTAATACAGGTAACGAGTGGAGGACAGCGGAGCCTCTGAAATAAGAAGTTACAGGTCTGTGAGAGCCAGAAATCTTGCTTGTTTGTAGGTGACCAAATACTTATTTTCCACCATAATTTGCAAATAAATTCATTAAAAATCCTACAATGGGATTTTCTGGATTTTTTTTCCTCAATTTGTCTGTCATAGTTGACGTGTACCTATGATGAAAAGTACAGGCCTCTCTCATCTTTTTAAGTGGGAGAACTTGCGCAATTGGTGGCTGACTAAATACTTTTTTTCCCCACTGTGTATATATATATATATATATATTTTTTTTCATACTGCCCCCCCGTGGGAATCGAACCCACAACCCTGGCGTTGCAAACGCCATGCTCTACCAACTGAGCTACATCCCTGCCGGCCATTCCCTCCCCTACCCTGGACGACGCTGTGCCAATTGTGCTCCGCCCCATGGGTCTCCCGGTCGCGGCCGGCTACGACAGAGCCTGGATTCGAACCAGGATCTCTAGTGGCACAGCTAGCAGATGTACACTGAACAAAAATATAAACACAATATGCAACAATTTCAAAGATTTTTACTGAGTTACAGTTCATATAAGGAAATTAGGCCCTAATCTATGGATTTCACATGACTGGGAATACAGATATGCATCTGTTGGTCACAGTTACCTTTTTGGATCAGAAAACCAGTCAGTATCTGGTGTGACTGCCATTTGCCTCATGCAGCGTGACACATCTCCTTCACATAGAGTTGATCAGGCTGTTGATTGTGGCCTGTGGAATGTTGTCCCTCTCCTCTTCAATGGCTGTGTGAAGTTGCTGGATATTGGCGGGAACTGGAACACGCTGTCGTACAGGTCGATCCAGAGCATCCCAAACATGCTCAATGGGTTACATGTCTGGTGAGTATGCAGGCCATGGAAGAACTGGGACATTTTCAGCTTCCAGGAATTGTGTACAGATCCTTGGGGCTGTGCATTATCATGCTGAAACATGGATGAATGGCACCACAATGGGCCTCAGGATCTCGTCACCAGGGCCGGCCCGCTCATTAGGCAGGATTAGACGGCCGCCTATGGCAGCAGATTGACGAGGGCAGCATTTTCTGAACTAAACTGACCAAGACGCACCTCCAATAACACACAAAACCTCACATAATTCTGCCCAAAAACAATGACAGTTTCTCTCAACTAGTGGCATATGGGCATTTTAGGTGAGCGCTGATACAGCCCTGTGATCAATAATGGGCACTTTGTCAAAGGCGGGTGCAAAATATTTTGCTTATCCATTCCCAGCGCGCCTCTCCAGGGTGCTGTTGGAGAGACGTATTGCTGCAGCGCTCCACCAACGTTCCGTCAAAAAAACTATCAAACATAAATCATGTAGGATATGGTAGAAAGACTGGTCTTTTTCTGAAGCCTACAGGCTGGAGATAAAATGTATGACAATGTAATGAGATGGACACTTTTTACATCATGCAGGTTTCTCCGATCAAATAGAAAATGCACTGTCATGTTAACAACATATCCTAAAAACAGGACTGGTCAAAGTAAAATGGTCAATATGGAATGGACAATCACCACTGTTCTCCAGGAGTTTCACCCCATTGATCAGTGGGTTCAAGTTTGTATCTGTCAATTTTTGACAAGCTGATCATGGCGAAAAATAAAATCCTAATGCATTTCCCGCTGTGTAAACGCGTTGCAAATAGGCTCCTGATAAAGTTGGGCAGCTGATATTCAGCTTAAATAGCCAAGTTGATTAGTCACAGGAATCCGGACTAATAAAGCCAATGTAACGGCCTGTTTTATAAATGGTGGGCCTACCACATGGGGGGGGCATTCATCCAATTCCATTGAGGATAACATGGTAGGCTACACCCCAGTAAGGCCATCATGGTAGGCTACACCCCAGTAAGGCCATCATGGTAGGCTACACCCCAGTAAGGCCATCATGGTAGGCTACACCCCAGTAAGGCCATCATGGTAGGCTACACCCCAGTAAGGCCATCATGGTAGGCTACACCCCAGTAAGGCCATCATGGTAGGCTACACCCCAGTAAGGCCATCATGGTAGGCTACACCCCAGTAAGGCCATCATGGTAGGCTACACCCCAGTAAGGCCATCATGGTAGGCTACACCCCAGTAAGGCCATCATGGTAGGCTACACCCCAGTAAGGCCATCATGGTAGGCTACACCCCAGTAAGCACGAGCAAACGTCTTTTTTGGTCCTGTGTTTCAAATGGTAGGCTTACAGCATAGATGGGCATTCATAAAAGGACATTACAGGCAGCACTATAGGCTCCACCTCAGGAAGCACGGACCGACACCAACGCCTTTTGGACTTCTTGTTTTGGTCCTGTCCGGACCGGCCTTGAGTTCCACATCCACAGACATTGGTTTTTGGTCCAGTCCGGACAAAATCTGAACCAATCATAGACGTCTATAATCTAAAAACAAAATCTAAAATGAGCCTGATTTCAACATCGGGAAAATAAATATTTTTCTACGTCTGGAAAAGATGCCTTTTCACCTTTCATTTAGAGCCTAAATTGACTCCAACTTCAACGTCTGGAAAATACGTATTCTACACGTCTTTTCAGTGTCATTTTGCTTACTGGGATTATTCAAGTTTTGCTGGGAGCCATTTTTTGGTCTCGCCCAGGACCGGCCCTGCTCGTCACGGTGTCTCTGCATTCAAATTGCCATAGATAAAATGCAATTGTGTTTGTTGTCTGTAGCTTATGCCTGCCCATACCATAACCCTACTGCCACTATGGGGCACTCTGTTCACAACGTTGACATCAGCAAACCGCCACCAGTTCTCAATACTCAACTCTCTGACCACGGGTGATGGAAAAGCCACTTGTGACTGTTTCATGAGCTGAAATAAGATGCCAGAAATGTTCAATTCACACACATTCTCTCATTTTGTACACATTTGTTTACCTCCCTGTTAGTGAGCATTTCTTGGTCTGTAATAAAGCCCTTTTGTGGGGTAGAACTCATTCTGATTGGCTGGGCCTGGCTCTGCAGTGGGTGGGCCTGGCTGCCTATGGCTGCACCCCTGTCCAGTCATGTGAAATCCATAGATTAGGGCCTAATTAATTTCAGTTGACTCATTTCCTTATATGAACCGTAACTAAGTAAAATCTTTGAAATTGTTGCAAGTTATGTTTTATATTTTGTTAAGTATATTTAATATTAGTTACCTCCAACTTATAGAGAAACATTATTAGGGTGGTGGCGGCGTACAGGGCATTATTAGGGTGGCGGCAGCGTACAGGGCATTATTAGGGGGGCTGGCGGCGTACAGGGCATTATTAGGGGGGTGGCGGCGTACAGGGCATTATTAGGGTGGTGGCGTACAGGGCATTATTAGGGTGGCGGTGGCGTACAGGGCATTATTAGGGTGGTGGTGGCGTACAGGGCATTATTAGGGTGGTGGCGGCGTACAGGGCATTATTAGGGGGGCGGTGGCGTACAGGGCATTATTAGGGTTGGTTGTGGCGTACAGGGCATTATTAGGGTGGTGGCGTACAGGGCATTATTAGGGTGGTGGCGTACAGGGCATTATTAGGGTGGTGGCGGGGTACAGGGCATTATTAGGGTGGTGGCGGGGTACAGGGCATTATTAGGGTTGGTTGTGGCGTACAGGGCATTATTAGGGGGGTGGCGTACAGGGCATTATTAGGGTGGTGGTGGCGTACAGGGCATTATTAGGGTGGTGGCGTACAGGGCATTATTAGGGTGGCGGCGTACAGGGCATTATTAGGGGGGTGGCGTACAGGGCATTATTAGGGGGGTGGTGGCGGGGTACAGGGCATTATTAGGGTGGTGGTGGCGTACAGGGCATTATTAGGGTGGTGGTGGCGTACAGGGCATTATTAGGGTGGTGGTGGCGTACAGGGCATTATTAGGGTGGTGGCGGCGTACAGGGCATTATTAGGGTGGTGGCGGCGTACAGGGCATTATTAGGGTGGTGGTGGCGTACAGGGCATTATTAGGGTGGTGGCGGCGTACAGGGCATTATTAGGGTGGTGGTGGCGTACAGGGCATTATTAGGGTGGTGGTGGCGTACAGGGCATTATTAGGGTGGTGGTGGCGTACAGGGCATTATTAGGGTGGTGGTGGCGTACAGGGCATTATTAGGGTGGTGGTGGCGTACAGGGCATTATTAGGATGGTGGTGGCGTACAGGGCATTATTAGGGTGGTGGTGGCGTCCAGGGCATTATTAGGGGGGTGGTGGCGTACAGGGCATTATTAGGGGGGTGGCGGCGTACAGGGCATTATTAGGGGGGTGGCGGTGTACAGGGCGTTATTAGGGTGGCGGCGTACAGGGCATTATTAGGGTGGTGGGGTACTGGGCATTATTAGGGTGGTGGCGTACAGGGCATTATTAGGGTGGTGGCGGGGTACAGGGCATTATTAGGGTGGTGGCGGCGTACAGGGCATTATTAGGGTGGTGGCGGCGTACAGGGCATTATTAGGGTGGTGGCGGCGTACAGGGCATTATTAGGGTGGTGGCGTACAGGGCATTATTAGGGTGGTGGCGTACAGGGCATTATTAGGGTGGTGGCGTACAGGGCATTATTAGGGGGGCGGTGGCGTACAGGGCATTATTAGGGTGGTGGCGTACAGGGCATTATTAGGGTGGTGGCGTACAGGGCATTATTAGGGTGGTGGCGTACAGGGCATTATTAGGGTGGTGGCGTACAGGGCATTATTAGGGTGGTGGCGTACAGGGCATTATTAGGGTGGTGGGGTACTGGGCATTATTAGGGTGGTGGCGTACAGGGCATTATTAGGGTGGTGGCGTACAGGGCATTATTAGGGTGGTGGCGTACAGGGCATTATTAGGGTGGTGGCGTACAGGGCATTATTAGGGTGGTGGCGTACAGGGCATTATTAGGGTGGCGGTGGCGTACAGGGCATTATTAGGGTGGTGGCGGCGTACAGGGCATTATTAGGGTGGTGGTGGCGTACAGGGCATTATTAGGGTGGTGGTGGCGGCGTACAGGGCATTATTAGGGTGGCGGTGGCGTACAGGGCATTATTAGGGTGGCGGCGTACAGGGCATTATTAGGGTGGCGGTGGCGTACAGGGCATTATTAGGGTGGCGGTGGCGTACAGGGCATTATTAGGGGGGCGGTGGCGTACAGGGCATTATTAGGGGGGCGGCGGCGTACAGGGCATTATTAGGGTGGTGGCGGCGTACAGGGCATTATTAGGGGGGCGGCGTACAGGGCATTATTAGGGTGGTGGCGGCGTACAGGGCATTATTAGGGGGCGGTGGCGTACAGGGCATTATTAGGGGGGTGGTGGGGTACAGGGCATTATTAGGGGGGGTGGTGGCGTACAGGGCATTATTAGGGTGGCGGCGTACAGGGCATTATTAGGGTGGTGGTGGCGTACAGGGCATTATTAGGGGGGTGGTGGCGTACAGGGCATTATTAGGGTGGCGGCGTACAGGGCATTATTAGGGGGGTGGCGGCGTACAGGGCATTATTAGGGTGGCGGCGTACAGGGCATTATTAGGGGGGTGGCGGCGTACAGGGCATTATTAGGGTGGTGGCGTACAGGGCATGTAGGATCATATCTCTTATCATGATCACCTGTCCTCCCTCTGTCATCTCCCTCTGTAACCTCCACCTCCCTGTTCGCTCCCTCTGTCCTCATCTCCGTCTCTCTGTCTCTGTCTCTGTCTCTGCCCTGCAGATAGTAGGGATTGCAGCTAAGCAGGGCCGTGTCCGTAATGCAGCCAACACTGTGGTTAAAGTCAAACAGGTGCTGGGGAGGAGGTGAGTGTCTGTGTTCTTAGTTGGTAACGTTCTAGGGAGAGTGAACTCAACTCACATTGTTGGGTTAGTTGGTAATGTTCTAGGGAGAGTGAACTCAACTCACATTGTTGGGTTAGTTGGTAACGTTCTAGGGAGAGGGAACTCAACTCACATTGTTGGGTTAGTTGGTAACGTTCTAGGGAGAGTGAACTCAACTCACATTGTTGGGTTAGTTAATGGTAACGTTCTAGGGAGAGTGAACTCAACTCACATTGTTGCTTCTCTCCTTTTTCCTCTTCCTGTTGGCAGCTTTGAGGATCCTGAGGTTCAGACACACAGAGCTGAGAGTAAATGTCCTGTGAGTACAACCCCTCTACACCCTATTAGACTACCTCAGGGATGGACCTGGTAGACATGTCTCTATTCCAGACTACCTAACACTAAGTTATCAGTGATGGACCTGGTAGACATGTCTCTATTCCAGACTACCTAACACTAAGTTATCAGTGATGTACCTGGTAGACATGTCTCTATTCCAGACTACCTAACACTAAGTTATCAGTGATGGACCTGGTAGACATGTCTCTATTCCAGACCAGACTACCTAACACTAAGTTATCAGTGATGGACCTGGTAGACATGTCTCTATTCCAGACTACCTAACACTAAGTTATCAGGGATGGACCTGGTAGACATGTCTCTATTCCAGACTACCTAACACTAAGTTATCAGTGATGGACCTGGTAGACATGTCTCTATTCCAGACTACCTAACACTAAGTTATCAGGGATGGACCTGGTAGACATGTCTCTATTCCAGACTACCTAACACTAAGTTATCAGTGATGGACCTGGTAGACATGTCTCTATTCCAGACTACCTAACACTAAGTTATCAGTGATGGACCTGGTAGACATGTCTCTATTCCAGACTACCTAACACTAAGTTATCAGTGATGGACCTGGTAGACATGTCTCTATTCCACCAGACTACCTAACACTAAGTTATCAGTGATGGACCTGGTAGACATGTCTCTATTCCAGACTACCTAACACTAAGTTATCAGTGATGGACCTGGTAGACATGTCTCTATTCCAGACTACCTAACACTAAGTTATCAGTGATGGACCTGGTAGACATGTCTCTATTCCAGACTACCTAACACTAAGTTATCAGTGATGGACCTGGTAGACATGTCTCTATTCCAGACTACCTAACACTAAGTTATCAGGGATGGACCTGGTAGACATGTCTCTATTCCAGACTACCTAACACTAAGTTATCAGTGATGTACCTGGTAGACATGTCTCTATTCCAGACTACCTAACACTAAGTTATCAGTGATGGACCTGGTAGACATGTCTCTATTCCAGACTACCTAACACTAAGTTATCAGTGATGGACCTGGTAGACATGTCTCTATTCCAGACTACCTAACACTAAGTTATCAGTGATGGACCTGGTAGACATGTCTCTATTCCAGACTACCTAACACTAAGTTATCAGGGATGTACCTGGTAGACATGTCTCTATTCCAGACTACCTAACACTAAGTTATCAGGGATAGTGTGTAATAGAGAAGCTGCTGATGATGATGATGATGATGGTGTAGTCAGTGCTCAACAAGAGTATGAGAAGACAGTGATGTATGAGAGACTGGAGAGATAGACCAGACAGGTGGATCCTGAGATGTCCGCCAACTACCTACACACGATGAAAGGTTTAGACTGATGACCTAGCCAATCTCTTCCGCCGCCCTCCCTATTCTGTCCCCCCTCACCATTCTCTTTCCCGCACCCTACCCTAATTCGTGTCCGACCCTGGTACTCTGTCCCCTTCCAGATCTCCTGTACCAGTTTCCAATCCCTCCTAGACATGCCTATCCAGCCCTAACCTAAGTATCAGTGAGACCTGAGACATTTGTCCACCAGTACCTAAACTATTCATGATGGACCTAGACATCCTATTCCAGACACTCAATTTCCCATATGCCTGCATGTCTCTATTCAGTCTAACATAAGTTTCAGGATGACCTGTAGACATGTCTTATTCCAGACTACCTAACCCCTAAGTTTCAGTGATGGACCTGGTAGACATGTCTCTATTCCAGACTACCTAACACTAAGTTATCATGATGGACCTGGTAGACATGCTCTATTCCAGACTACCTAACACTAAACGTGATGGACGGTACATGTTTATTCAGACTCCACTAGTTTCAGATACCTCGCTATTCCGACTACCAACACTAATTATAGATGGACTGTAGACAGTCTCTATTCCGACACTAACTAAGTTCAGGATGGACCTGGTAGACATGTCTCTATCCAGACTACCTAACACTAAGTTATCAGGATGTACCGGTAGACATGTCTCTATCCGACAAAAAAGTTGTAATAGAAAGCTGCTGATGATATATGAGATGTGGTCAGTTGGTCAACAAGGGAGAGAGCCATTGAGATGACTGGAAGATGACCAGAGTGGCTCCTCAGATGTCGCCAAACTCATCCTACACAAGATGAAAGGTTTACACATATACACCTAGACCCATCTCTGCCCCGCCTCCCTCCCATCTCAGTTCGGCAACGGTCAAAGTGCTGCATAGTGGTATCTCTGTCCGCACCACCTCCCATTCTTGCCGCCCCTGCCCACTCTGTCCGACGTCCCTCCAATCTGTCCCGCCCACCTCCCATCTCTTCACCAGTCCAATCCCAACCACACCCTAGACACTATGGCCCTATCCCTATGCCTATGCCCTATGGAATCTGGTATTGATTGGTCTAGCAATATGGTGAACTTCCACGAGTTTATCAGAGCGGAAGTTACAACTATCTCTCCACGCTTCCTCACCTAGCTCTCCTCCTCCGTTCCAACCCAAGCACCCTGACAGCCTCTACCCATCTCCTAGCCATCGAGATCTGACACCCAACTGAGTCCCCTATGTAACTTCCTCCGATTCAGAACTCCTCCATTCCCCCTGCATCCCTCTACCTCCATCTCCTCCGTTCCCCCCGCATCCCCTCTACTCCATCTCCTCCTCCGTTCCCCCCTGCATCCCCTCTACTCCATCTCCTCCTCCGTTCCCCCCTGCATCCCCTTACTCCATCTCCTCCGTTCCCCCTGCATCCCCTCTACTCCATCTCCTCCTCCGTTCCCCCCTCTAACTTACTCCATCTCCTCCTCCGTTCCCCCCCTGCATCCCCTCTACTCCATCTCCTCCTCCGTTCCACCCCCTACTACTCCATCTCCTCCTCCGTTCCCCCTCTGCATCCCCTCTACTCCATTCCTCCTCCGTTCCCCCTCTACTCCATCTCCTCCGTTCCCCCTCTACTCCATCTCCTCCTCCGTTCCCCCTGCATCCCCTCTACTCCATCTCTCCTCCGTTCCCCCTCTACTCCATCTCCTCCGTCCCCTCTCCCTTCCCCCCTGCATCCCCTCTACTCCATCTCCTCTTTCCCCCTCTACTCCATCTCCTCCTCCGTTCCCCCCCCCCTGCATCCCCTCTACTCCATCTCCTCCTCCGTTCCCCCCTCTACTCCATCTCCTCCTCCGTTCCCCCCCCTGCATCCCCTCTACTCCATCTCCTCTGTTCCCCCTCTACTCCATCTCCTCCTCCGTTCCCCCCTGCATCCCCTCTACTCCATCTCCTCCGTTCCCCCTCTACTCCATCTCCTCCTCCGTTCCCCCCCCTGCATCCCCTCTACTCCATCTCCTCTGTTCCCCCCTCTTACTCCATCTCCTCCTCCGTTCCCCCCCCCTGCATCCCCTCTACTCCATCTCCTCCTCCGTTCCCCCTCTACTCCATCTCCTCCTCCGTTCCCCCCCCGGCATCCCCTCTACTCCATCTCCTCCGTTCCCCCTCTACTCCATCTCCTCCTCCGTTCCCCCCCCTGCATCCCCTCTACTCCATCTCCTCTGTTCCCCCTCTACTCCATCTCCTCCTCCGTTCCCCCCCCCCTGCCATCCCCTCTACTCCATCTCCTCCTCCGTTCCCCCTCTACTCCATCTCCTCCTCCGTTCCCCCCCCCTGCATCCCCTCTACTCCATCTCCTCCTCCGTTCCCCCTCTACTCCATCTCCTCCTCCGTTCCCCCCCCGGCATCCCCTCTACTCCATCTCCTCCGTTCCCCCTCTACTCCATCTCCTCCTCCGTTCCCCCCCCCGGCATCCCCTCTACTCCATCTCCTCTGTTCCCAACTGCTTCCACCTGTGAAACCTGTCAGATGTCCGGGGGGAGGGTGTAGTACAAGAGGTCCACCTGGGATATTGTTGTTTCCATAGAGACGGCTCAGTCGGCCTTGGGTGCTGATGTCACGGAGGCTGTCATCACTGTCCCCTTCGAGTTCGCACATGCTCAGAAGGTGGCGTTGAGGGAGGCTGCGGAGGCGGCAGGGTTCCGGGTGTTGAGGCTGATCCACGAGCCAGCAGCTGCTTTACTGGCATACGGCATCGGACAGGACTGTCCATCTGGGAAGAGGTACCCACTACTCCTTCTGGTGTATAAACGGGTCATGTCCTGGTGTATAAACTGGTCATGCCCTGGTGTATAAACGGGTCATGCCCTGGTGTATAAACTGGTCCTGTCCTGGTGTATAAACGGGTCATGCCCTGGTGTATAAACTGGTCCTGTCCTGGTGTATAAACTGGTCATGTCCTGGTGTATAAACTGGTCCTGTCCTGGTGTATAAACGGGTCCTGTCCTGGTGTATAAACGGGTCCTGTCCTGGTGTATAAACGGGTCATGCCCTGGTGTATAAACTGGTCATGCCCTGGTGTATAAACTGGTCCTGTCCTGGTGTATAAACGGGTCATGCCCTGGTGTATAAACTGGTCCTGTCCTGGTGTATAAACTGGTCCTGTCCTGGTGTATAAACGGGTCATGTCCTGGTGTATAAACTGGTCATGCCCTGGTGTATAAACTGGTCCTGTCCTGGTGTATAAACTGGTCCTGTCCTGGTGTATAAACGGGTCATGTCCTGGTGTATAAACGGGTCCTGTCCTGGTGTATAAACGGGTCCTGTCCTGGTGTATAAACGGGTCCTGTCCTGGTGTATAAACTGGTCATGCCCTGGTGTATAAACTGGTCATGCCCTGGTGTATAAACTGGTCATGCCCTGGTGTATAAACTGGTCCTGTCCTGGTGTATAAACTGGTCCTGTCCTGGTGTATAACTGGTCATGCCCTGGTGTATAAACTGGTCCTGTCCTGGTGTATAAACTGGTCATGCCCTGGTGTATAAACTGGTCCTGTCCTGGTGTATAAACTGGTCCTGTCCTGGTGTATAAACTGGTCCTGTCCTGGTGTATAAACTGGTCCTGTCCTGGTGTATAAACTGGTCCTGTCCTGGTGTATAACCTGGTCCTGTCCTGGTGTATAACTGGTCCTGTCCTGGTGTATAAACTGGTCATGTCCTGGTGTATAACCTGGTCCTGTCCTGGTGTATAAACTGGTCCTGTCCTGGTGTATAAACTGGTCCTGTCCTGGTGTATAACTGGTCATTGTGTGTGTGTGTAGTCATGTCCTAGTGTATAAACTAGGTGGGACGTCTCTGAGTGTGACGGTGCTGCAAGTGAACGGTGGAATGTTCCGGGTTCTGAACACACATACAGACCACAGCATCGGAGGAGAGAGCTTCACTATCGCCCTGGCACAGCACCTGGCTGCAGAGTTCAAACGGTAACACACACACACACACACACACACACACACCTGGCTGCAGAGTTCAAACGGTAACACACACACACACACCTGGCTGCAGAGTTCAAACGGTAACACACACACACACCTGGCTGCAGAGTTCAAACGGTACAGCCTGTTAGCTCAGCCTGTTAGCTCAGCCTGTCAGCCCAAATTCAGAGCATTTCTAGCAGGAAAAAAGGGGCATGGACTCTGCTGTCCTAGCTTCAGGGGAAAGCTGCTTCCACTATTGGGGTGCCAGGACAGAGAAGAGCTTGGACTGGGCTGAGGGGGAGCTGACCTCTCATAGGGGTGGGAGGGCCAAGAAACCAGAGGTCGCAGAACGGAGGGCTCTGGTTGGGGTGTAGGGTTGGAGCATAGCCTGGAGATAGGGACTCAGGTTGGGGTGTAGGGTTGGAGCATAGCCTGAAGGTAGGGACTCAGGTTGGGGTGTAGGGTTGGAGCATAGCCTGGAGATAGGGACTCAGGTTGGGGTGTAGGGTTGGAGCATAGCCTGGAGATAGGGAGGGGCAGTTCCTCTTGCTGTTCTGTAGATAAGCACCATAGTCTTATAGTGGATGGGAGCTTCAACTGGAAGCCAGTGGAGTGTGCAGAGGAGCGGGGTGACATGAGAGAACTTAGTCTCCTACATCTGATCCACTGGTTTTAATGCTGTGCGTCTGTCTGTAGGTCGTTTAAACAGGATGTTAGTCGTAGTGCGCGGGGTGACATGAGGGAACTTAGTCTCCTACATCTGATCCTCTGGTGTTAATGCTGTGTGTCTGTCTGTAGGTCGTTTAAACAGGATGTTAGTCGTAGTGCGCGGGCCATGTTGAAGCTGATGAATGGAGCAGACATGGCCAAACATTCTCTCTCCACGCTGGGTTCTGCCAATTGCTTCGTTGACTCTCTACACGACGGCATGGACTTTGACTGCAACGTCTCCAGGTGACTACACTACCCACAAGCCCCTGCTCTCTTACCCACCACAATCCTCCTCTTCATACAATGCCACAGGAAAGTCATGCTCTTGTGTTTTTTTTCTCAGGGCCCGTTTTGAGCTGCTGTGTTCGTCCCTGTTCAACAAGAGTGTCCAACCAATCAGAACCCTGCTGGAGACAACTGGGCTCTCTACTAGTGACATCAACAAGGTAACCCTGACCCCTACCTACCTACCTGACCCCTACCTACCTACCTGACCCCTACCTACCTGACCCCTACCTACCTACCTACCTGACCCCTACCTACCTAATATGGGCTTGGAAGTTGCCATGGCACTGAAGTAGCATAGGCATAGAGCTCTGTAAATACTGGACATATTGTTACTTAAAACAAATAACATTTACATTATTTTGCGGGATGAACAGTCAACTTGTTTGGCTTGATAGCTGGCTAGCTGGCTATTTGGACTCTCTAGCTAGCTGGCTATTTGGACTCTCTAGCTAGCTGGCTATTTGGACTCTCTGGCTAGCTGGCTATTTGGACTCTCTAGCTAGCTGGCTATTTGGACTCTCTAGCTAGCTGGCTATTTGGACTCTCTAGCTAGCTGGCTATTTGGACTCTCTAGCTAGCCGGCTATTTGGACTCTCTGGCTAGCTGGCTATTTGGACTCTCTGGCTAGCTGGCTATTTGGACTTTCTAGCTAGCTGGCTATTTGGACTTTCTGGCTAGCTGGCTATTTGGACTCTCTAGCTAGCTGGCTATTTGGACTCTCTAGCTAGCTGGCTATTTGGACTCTCTAGCTAGCTGGCTATTTGGACTCTCTAGCTAGCTGGCTATTTGGACTCTCTGGCTAGCTGGCTATTTGGACTCTCTAGCTAGCTGGCTATTTGGACTCTCTAGCTAGCTGGCTATTTGGACTCTCTAGCTAGCCGGCTATTTGGACTCTCTAGCTAGCTGGCTATTTGGACTCTCTGGCTAGCTGGCTATTTGGACTCTCTGGCTAGCTGGCTATTTGGACTTTCTGGCTAGCTGGCTATTTGGACTCTCTAGCTAGCTGGCTATTTGGACTCTCTAGCTAGCTGGCTATTTGGACTCTCTAGCTAGCTGGCTATTTGGACTCTCTAGCTAGCTGGCTATTTGGACTCTCTAGCTAGCTGGCTATTTGGACTCTAGCTAGCTGGCTATTTGGACTTTCTAGCTAGCTGGCTATTTGGACTCTCTAGCTAGCTGGCTATTTGGACTCTCTAGCTAGCTGGCTATTTGGACTCTCTAGCTAGCTGGCTATTTGGACTCTCTAGCTAGCTGGCTATTTGGACTCTCTGGCTAGCTGGCTATTTGGACTCTCTGGCTAGCTGGCTATTTGGACTCTCTAGCTAGCTGGCTATTTGGACTCTCTAGCTAGCCGGCTATTTGGACTCTCTAGCTAGCTGGCTATTTGGACTCTCTAGCTAGCTGGCTATTTGGACTCTCTAGCTAGCTGGCTATTTGGACTCTCTAGCTAGCTGGCTATTTGGACTCTCTAGCTAGCTGGCTATTTGGACTCTCTAGCTAGCTGGCTATTTGGACTCTCTGGCTAGCTGGCTATTTGGACTCTCTGGCTAGCTGGCTATTTGGACTCTCTAGCTAGCTGGCTATTTGGACTCTCTAGCTAGCCGGCTATTTGGACTCTCTAGCTAGCCGGCTATTTGGACTCTCTAGCTAGCTGGCTATTTGGACTCTCTAGCTAGCTGGCTATTTGGACTCTCTAGCTAGCTGGCTATTTGGACTCTCTAGCTAGCTGGCTATTTGGACTTTCTAGCTAGCTGGCTATTTGGACTTTCTAGCTAGCTGGCTATTTGGACTCTCTAGCTAGCTGGCTATTTGGACTCTCTGGCTAGCTGGCTATTTGGACTCTCTAGCTAGCTGGCTATTTGGACTCTCTAGCTAGCTGGCTATTTGGACTCTCTAGCTAGCTGGCTATTTGGACTCTCTAGCTAGCTGGCTATTTGGACTTTCTAGCTAGCTGGCTATTTGGACTTTCTAGCTAGCTGGCTATTTGGACTTTCTCGGGCCACATAAATAATCATTATTTAACCTGAGAAACATCACCGACTCAGTCCTGTTCTCTCTAAACCTGATCTGGAGAGGCTGGTCAACTCCCTAGTCACCTTCCGACTCGATTTCTGCAATGCTCTCCCTGGTGGTCTCCCCTCAAGCATCCACAGGCTGCAGAATAGCACTGCCACGGTCCTCACAGCAACCCAGAGATCTGCCAACATCACCCCCATGCTAGCCTCTCTCCACAGGCTGCAGAATAGGGCTGCCAGGGTCCTCACAGCAACCCAGAGATCTGCCAACATCACCCCCATGCTAGCCTCTCTCCACTGGCTGCAGAATAGGGCTGCCAGGGTCCTCACAGCAACCCAGAGATCTGCCAACATCACCCCCATGCTAGCCTCTCTCCACTGGCTGCAGAATAGGGCTGCCAGGGTCCTCACAGCAACCCAGAGATCTGCCAACATCACCCCCCATGCTAGCCTCTCTCCACTGGCTGCAGAATAGGGCTGCCAGGGTCCTCACAGCAACCCAGAGATCTGCCAACATCACCCCCATGCTAGCCTCTCTCCACTGGCTGCAGAATAGGGCTGCCAGGGTCCTCACAGCAACCCAGAGATCTGCCAACATCACCCCCATGCTAGCCTCTCTCCACTGGCTGCAGAATAGGGCTGCCAGGGTCCTCACAGGAACCCAGAGATCTGCCAACATCACCCCCATGCTAGCCTCTCTCCACTGGCTGCCCATCCAATCCAGAATCAACTTCAGAATATTCCTGTTAGTCTCCAAACCCCTCAGTGCCTCTGGTCCCCAATACCTCATTGAACTCCGCAGCCCCAAACAGACTTCACATTTACGCCGGTCAAATGATCAGTCTCCTTGCAGTCCCAGAGACCCTCCTAAAAACAATGGGTGACTGAGCGTTCTGCTGTCTCGGCCCCCGGCTCTACCTCTGCATGCCCCAGACCCTAACCCTCCAAAAACCATGGGTGACTGAGCGTTCTGCTGTCTCGGCCCCCGGCTCTACCTCTGCATGCCCCAGACCCTAACCCTCCAAAAACCATGGGTGACTGAGCGTTCTGCTGTCTCGGCCCCCGGCTCTACCTCTGCATGCCCCAGACCCTAACCCTCCTAAAAACCATGGGTGACTGAGCGTTCTGCTGTCTCGGCCCCCGGCTCTACCTCTGCATGCCCCAGACCCTAACCCTAACCCTAACCCTAACCCTCTGCATGCCCCAGACCCTAACCCTAACCCTAACCCTAACCCTCTGCATGCCCCAGACCCTAACCCTAACCCACTGCCTTTAAGTCTGAGCTCAACAAACTGGCTTTCTCTTAATGTGATCTGTGTATGTTGCTAGTGTTCTGTTCTTTTCCAGTTGTATTGTTCTGCCCTGGTCACCACCTGTATAGTCTAGTACTAGGCTGTTAGCTAGGGCTGACTGATATGGCCAAAATATAATAGCACAATATTTTGTTTTTAAATCCTGTGAAAAAAGAGAAACCCGCATACTGCTCCTGCTAGTATCACTGTTCTTTATTCAGCTTCCGTATCGGCCTCAAGGCCTCCATCAGTGCTTTTGAGTTTTTAATTTGCACCCTTGTGTAGACATTGCTCCACCCACATCCATTCAGTGCATCGAATGTGTTTGGAGTCGAGGAAAAACAAATGTTAGAACAATGTGCATTTCATAAATATTATAATAACGTACAGTACAAGTCAAAAGTTTGGACACACCTACTCATTCAAGGGTTTTCTTTATTTTTACTATGTTCTACCTTGTAGAATAATGATGACGACATCAAAACTATGAAATAACACATATGGAATCATGTAGTAACCAAGAAAGTAATAAAATATATTTTATATTCTTCAAAGTAGCCACCCTTTGCGTTGATGACAGCTTTGCACACTCTTGGCATTCTCTCAACCAGCTTCACCTGGAATGCTTTTCCAACAGTCTTGAAGGAGTTCCCACATGCTGAGCACTTGTTGGCTGCTTTTCCTTCACTCTGCTGTCCAACTCATCCCAAACCATCTCAATTGGGTTGAGGTTGGGAGATTGTGGAGGCCAGGTCATCTGATGCAGCACTCCATCACTCTCCTTCTTGATTAAAAAGCCCTTACACAGCCTGGAGGTGTGTTGGGTCATTGTCCTGTTGAAAAAATATATATATGCCCACTAAGCGCGAACCAGATGGGATGGCGTATCGCTGCAGAATCCTGTGGTAGCCATGCTGGTTAAGTGTGCCTTGAATTCTAAATAAATCACTGACCGTGTCACCAGCAAAGCACCATAACACCTCCTCCTCCATGCTTCACGGTGGGAACCACACATGCGGAGATCATCCGTTCACCCACACCGTGTCTCGAACCAAAAATCTCAAATTTGGACTCCAGACCAAAGGACAGATTTCCACCGGTCTAATGTCCATTGCTCGTGTTTCTTGGCCCAAGCAAGTCTCTTCTTATTATTGGTGTCCTTTAGTAGTGGTTTCTTTGCAGAAATTTGACCGTGAAGGCCTGATTCACACAGTCCACTCTGAACAGTTGATGTTGACATCTGTTACTTGAACTCTGTGAAGCATTTATTTGGGCTGCAATTTCTGAGGCTGGTAAATCTAATAAACTTATCCTCTGCAGCAGAGGTAACTCTGGGTCTTCCATTCCTGTGGCAGTCCTCATGAGAGCCAGTTTCATCATAGCGCTTAATGGTTTTTTTGACTGCACTTGAAGAAACTTTCAAAGTTCTTAATCTTCCGGCTTGACAGACCTTCATGTCTTAAAGTAATGATGGACTGTCGTTTCTCTTTGCTTATTTAAGCTGTTCTTGCCATAATATGGACCTGGTCTTTTACCAAATAGGGCTATCTTCTGTATACCCCCCTACCTTGTCACAACACAACTGATTGGCTCAAATGCGTTAAGGAGGAAAGAAATTCCACAAATTAACTTTTAAGGCAGCACACCTGTTAATTGAAATGCGTTCCAGGTGACTACCTCATGTGATGTCTTCACTATTATTCTACAATGTTGAAAATAGTAAAAATAAAGAAAACCCCTTGAATGAGTAGGTGTGTCCAAACGTTGGACTGGTACTGTATGTAAAATGTATTAAATGTGTTCATTACCCCGATATGTGGATCGAGAAATCAATTGGAACCCTGTTTACAACTCTACAGAAGAGTAATGGACAGAGATACTATATTACCGGGGGACGCT